GTTGATAAGCTTGGAGAAAAAAGGGGGGTTATGCTCAAGTCGGACTTTGAAGAAAAAAACTGAACGCATTGTTATTTGTAAGAGTAAATGAAAAAAATAGAGGCTTGTCTAATATGAAAAAAAGATCACTCTTAGAGAGTAGAGTGCCGAAGTTATCTCACACGTGTTGATACGGCGGCCATCTTGGAAAGGCTTTTCGCCATGTGCTAATAGAAAGAAGTGTATGAAAAGGAATCCTGTGTAACTGCTTGGTCATACTACTCTCTATGATGAATTGTAATTTGGTTTAACATTAAACATTAAGTTTGAATGAATATTATGTAAGCAAGTGTAGGGACATACACTTGCTTGTTATTGATACCTGTTGTATCTGGAGGTGCCATTACTACAAGCATATTTTTTCCTGTCAAAAGCTAATCTATTGGGCTTTGTCAGTCATTGCCTCATTGCTTTCATTCTTCAAGATTGTAAAGTATTAATATTAAAAACTTGTCAGTATTGATATCTTCTTTGTAAATTTCAGGATCAAGAGATTAAAAATAAGGAGCAACAATGGGTAAAGAAAAGGTTCACATTAACATTGTCGTCATTGGTCATGTCGACTCTGGAAAATCTACTTCCACAGGCCATCTCATCTACAAATGTGGTGGTATTGACCAGAGAACTATCGCTAAGTTCGAAAAGGAAGCATCTGAGGTATACTTGAAAACAAAAATCATGGTGTTTTGAATCTTTCTTTTCATTATTTAAAAAAAAAAATGAAGTTATGATGACAAGTATTTGTGAAAACATTGTAGATCCAAGTAATGAAATACCGATATTTGAAATTTTCAGATGGGAAAAGGTTCCTTCAAATATGCCTGGGTTTTGGACAAACTGAAGGCTGAGCGTGAACGTGGTATTACCATTGATATTGCCTTGTGGAAGTTTGAGACCACCAAATATTTCATCACCATTATTGATGCTCCCGGCCACAGAGATTTCATCAAGAACATGATTACAGGTATACCATTGCCATTCATTCAAAATCAATATCTTGAAATCAAACCGTAAAGGAAAAAACATGAAAATCATTGGTGAGAACTCGTCCTATAGCATAATGATGAGGTAGTTTTTTCGATACAAGCAATTCATTGACGAGAGTTCTGCAGGAAACTAACATTTGCCATCTGCCAATGGTTTTTAAAATTTGGTCCAAGTTCTTGGGAAATTTAGCAGTACAAAAGCACAAAAAAAAAATTTGGGAAGTAACTCTTAAATTTTAGTAGCAGGAATAGATGGCAATATATTGCATGATTCCTACCAAATCTGAGGCCCAAAAAAGCCTTGGATCAGAATATAACCCATCTCTGTCTGATTTTACAGGAACATCACAGGCTGATTGTGCTGTGTTGATCATTGCTGCCGGAACAGGAGAGTTCGAAGCTGGTATCTCCCCCAACGGACAAACTCGTGAGCACGCACTGTTGGCTTTCACCTTGGGTGTTAAACAGCTTATCGTTGGTGTCAACAAAATGGACAGCACTGAACCACCATACAGTGAGGTAAGATCGCTACATGAAAAATATAATTACTATTGCTTTTTGTGTTCTTGCAAAACCTGCATTATGGAAAAAAATGTAATTTAAAACTTTTGTTTTAATTCAGAGCCGTTTCAAAGAAATCAAGGGTGAGGTTGAGAAATACATCAAGAAGATTGGATACAATCCAAAGGCTGTACCTTTTGTGCCAATCTCTGGATGGCATGGAGACAACATGATTGAGGCCTCAGAAAAAATGTCCTGGTACTCTGGCTGGGAAATTGAAAGGAAGGAGGGAAATGCTAAAGGAAAGACTCTGATGGAGGCTTTGGATGCTATCCTGCCACCAAAGAGACCCACAGATTTAGCTCTTCGTCTTCCACTCCAGGACGTATACAAGATTGGAGGTAAATTATCTGTCTGGGAATTGGCAGCTGTATTAGAAATATTTGCACTTCATTCATATGTTCTGTTAAATGAGAGAGGAAATGAGCATTTCTTTAAAAAAGAAAAATTACCCAAAAAAAGCATAAAGGCTATACATGCATTGATTTTTACTTCAGGTATTGGAACTGTGCCAGTCGGTAGAGTGGAAACTGGTATTTTGAAACCAGGTATGGTTGTCACATTTGCTCCCCCCAACATCACCACTGAGGTCAAATCTGTTGAAATGCACCACGAGTCCCTCCCAGAAGCTCTGCCTGGTGACAACGTTGGTTTTAACATTAAGAACGTCTCGGTGAAGGAAATCCGTCGTGGAAACGTCTGCGGAGACAGCAAGAACGATCCACCAAAGGGTGCCAAGAACTTCCTCGCCCAGGTAAGAATAATGGATAATTGATTAATCCATGTACTTAGAAGTAATATCGGTAAAGTTTTGGTTTCCACTGAATGTAAACCTCAGCAAGGTTAAGACAATCATTTAACTCTGAGCTTTTTATGAAATTTGTAATTGGAAGTTCAGATTGTTGTCGTGTACTTGGGCTAATGCATTGTCCTGTTATGAGCGATTTTGTTTACCTCTGTGTGATATTGCAGTATTTGGTCAGCTGAGATCTAGATACTGAATATAAGCTTCTTTATTTTAGGTCATCATCCTGAACCACCCAGGTGAGATCAAGAACGGATATGCACCTGTCCTTGATTGCCACACTGCTCACATTGCCTGCAAGTTTGTTGAAATCAGAGAGAAATGCGATCGTCGTAGTGGAAAAGTTTTGGAAGAGGCCCCCAAAATGATCAAGAGTGGAGATGCCGCTATGGTCACTATGGTCCCCAGCAAACCCATGTGTGTTGAGCCATTCTCCAAGTACGCACCTTTGGGACGTTTTGCCGTACGTGACATGAGGCAGACCGTTGCCGTCGGTGTCATCAAGGAGGTCGAGAAGCAGGAAGCCGCCCAAGGCAAAGTGACCAAAGCCGCACAAAAAGCCGGTGGAAAGAAGTGAAATTTGCTGAACTTAGGAACCTTAAAATCCCATCAGCTATTTAATTCTAATTTAAAGAGAAATGACAAAATCATGCCACTATTTAATTTTGAAAGACCAAAGCAGGTCATTTATTGGACAGTCTGTTATTTGATGAAAAATATACATCGGAAGGAAGTAAGACGGAAAGAACAATTTTGTTGTAGTAACAGAATTCATTAATTATGTCAAATAAAAATTGGATATTTTAGTACTGTCTCTTTATTTTTGCCATAATTTATGAAGCACGGTGAAAGGGTCGAAGTTTATGATGCTAAAATTTGAGTCTTGGTCATTATCATGTGTTCATAAATAGTGGTAAATATTTCTGAGTGTTAGGAGATTCCAGTGTTATTACCTGGTCTGAAAGTTTTTGTTCGTTTTTCTGACTGAACCAAATTGATTCTTGAGCAAGAATTGCTTGAAGCAAGTTTTATATGGATAGAGTTAACAAAAAGACCTTGCAGTTGGATAAAGTAGTTGGCCTTTGGAACATTCCGACAGGGTTTGAGTCTGTCATGAGAGTGAATGATATTGTAATTTTAATAAGGGACAAGGGAAATGCATGTAATAATTTAAAACAAAAAAATCAACTGTAAAGTAAATGACCAACAACACATAAAATGCTGTATTTGCATTGTTATTGTTCTTGTGTACTATAACCCCGTTCTCAACTTCGTAAGATAATAGGCCTATTACATTTGTGTATATATACAAGAAACATATTGACGCAAGCGTCAAAAATCGGCCGCAAACCAATTAATTAATTCTTTCATATAAATTAGAATCTGAATTCTTATATTTATCTGTTAATTAATATGTATCCCTGTGACATAAATTAACATTTGAATGCGACATCGCAGGATTTTCTTCAGTACATAATACATGTACATTGCTACATGTACAATGTATTTAAGCAACTTAAAATTTGCGTTTAAACAAAGTTTTTAACCTCGTTCTCCAGATGAAAAAAATTAATTAATAGTTGTTTATTCATGGAAAAAATCGACAAAGAATAACTGAACGACATTTTAATATTAAATAAAACGTAACAACTTAATGTCATTTGTGAGATGTGGCCGGAAAAGGCTTGTTGTAAAACGCGCTTTACTTAGCCAATCTTCCATGTAAACAAACGCTTAAATGCCTTTGTCAATCAGGATTGGATAATTTTATGAATTATGATTTAAAAATTAAGAAACAACTGAATTTTTTAACTTGTTCTAAAAGAACGATTCACTAACCCTAATCCATCGTATGGTATGCAATTTTTTTCTAAGACGTTCAGACGTGAAATCTCCCATGAGGGCAGATGCTAAACTAACCCTAATGATGCATGTTGAATAATGTGCGAGGACTAATGGATTAATTTCTCAGATGGAACCCGCGAGACTAACCCTAATTTTGAGTCTGAATATATAAATGTTTAGAAGGATTATGTTTTATCCTAATCTCTCAGGTGGGTGCAAGACTAACCCTAATCAGTACGTATATATTATAGGATTTAAAATCTTCCCATTTCAGAAAAGCTTGATGATAGTACAACAAATCATAGTCCAATGAGCGCGAGGACATAGAAATATATATAAAATCTTGCTTTAGACTACTGGGCCAAAAAGCTGAAACTTATGTGGAAGCTCCGGTAAGTTAGTACAAGTGACCCCGGGGGTACCCACAATCGAAATCACTATATAGGTTGAAAATCCAAGCCATGAGCTATGCATAAGCATTTGCTAATGCTTTATGATGCTTACGCATGATTTCTATTTTACTTGATTGATAAAATTTCTCGAACTCCTGTGGTTGATGGATTAAGGTATGGGGTTTTTCTTCAAATCAGAAATGAAACCCGCGAGGTACTTTTATTTGAATTTTGAGGAAATCTAGACAAAAATATATACCGGAACTGTTTAGATGACGCAATGTGTGGTTTTATCGATGAAGAGAGTTTTTTTTTTTTTTTTAATCAAGGGCAGGTAACTCTTCCTTCCGAACATATCATGTGATAAGTAAAATGGAGGAGAAGAAGGCGAACTCGCTGAGCTGCCCAGTTTGTTCAGCATTGTATGTATCTTAGTATTCTAATTTTAAAATTTATTTTAAAGGTCTACCCCCTCTATACTATAAAATTGTACAGAGTGGTAGACCAGTCACCTATATTATATCTTTCATCGTTTACGTGGTTATTAAATGGAAAAGATTTATGATAAAGCATGATAAGGGTGATAAATTAGACTGAAACGGGAGGCGGTGAGCAAGGGAGGTTTTGTTATCCCTCTGTGGCAACGCACTTTGAAAAATTTCTTCACAGTGTGTTAAAATTGGGACAAAATCAACGCACTTTGAAAATGTTTTTCAAAGTGCGTTAAATTTAGGACACACTCAACACACTTTGAAATTTTTTTAAAGTGCGTTAAGAGTGTACATCATCATTTCTTACCATGGGGAAATTTAACACACTTTGAAAAAAATATGTATAAATCAAAAGTTCTAGACATAGATTTTAGTAATTGAGAGAATGTATTTGGAATAATTATATCTTTCGAAAAATTTGTTGATTTACTTGGACTGATTTAACCTCAGTTAGAACAAGGAGAAGACAAGTAGGTCTCTCAGCCCAACTCAGTTTTTCTTATACATAGCCATCGGTAGCAAATTAAATGTGGACCCCCTCCCCCACCCCCCCCCCCAAAAAAAAAGGTAAGCCTCAATTTTCAATGCCTGTATTATGTATATCTTTGCCAAACATTAGTGTGCTTATCCCCCCCCCCCCCCCCCCCCCCCAACAATGCCTGTGCTACACCCTAATATATGTATTTGCATAACTGGAATGACATTGAAAACTATCAATAAATTTTAGTTCACATAAAATGAATGCAAACGGGAAAAATGAAATACAGTAAAATATTTAAGAGAGAAAGAATTTTCAAAGTATGGAAGAATCAAAATCGCTCACTCTCACATCCTGAAGTGACCTTATAACCGAAAAGTTATCCAACAGGTTATTTATCACACCTAATTATACGATACTTAGTATGCAAGAATATCGACCATACGCACTTTGAAAAGAAATGTAATTTTTTAAAGTGCTTTGATTTGGTACCAAATTTAACACACTTTGAAAAATTTTCTCAAAGTGCGTAATTTTTCAAAGTGCATTGTAACATCCCTCCCCTAACTTTGACAATGTACATTCCTTACCATATTTATGATATATAACTGGCATGTCACCTAAATGATTTTGTAAGAATGAACTAATATGAAATGGTTTATAGTTGTTAGTATCCAAAAAGTAATATATGATATCTTTTAAATTGTTTACAGGCATATTCCACAGAAACAGAACTTGAAAAATGGCATTTTTATGGGCACCTGTCAATCCTGTGGACATTTCTTCAAGTTCAGGTGTAGCAACAGTGTGGAGTCCAGCATTACAATTACTGTTAACGGAAAATCTTACTCGGGTAATTATATTTGTACATAATACTTCAGTGACCAAAAAATAGATATAATGTCCATTGCACATTATATGAGATTTAGAAGACATTCAAATGTTAGTTATTGATAATTGATGTAATTTTTTTTTACAGTTGGAAGTGAGTACTCTGGGTCCACAACATTGAATTCCTTCTTGAGAGATTCCAGAATTTCCACAGGAACCAAGTATATGTGCAAGGAAGGGGGGTGTGGGACATGTCTCGTGCAAGCTAAATTGTATGAACCAATAACGATGGAAAAACAATCCTACGCCGTGAATTCAGTACGTTAGAATTGCTTGAAATATACGTATTTATCATGTTTATAAAATAATAAAAGTTCAAAATAAAATCATACCAGTGTTGCAGTCCAAGACCTAAGTGTATCTTTACAAACTTTCAAATATATTGTCAAGAGCTTTTTATAAAGTTTTTAGCTCACCTGAGCTATTAGCTATAGTGAGCTTGATCTGATCAGATTTTGTCCGGTGTCCGTCTTTATCCGTCCGTCTGTCTGTCTGTAAACTTTTCACATTTTCGACTTCTTCTCAAGAACCGCTGGGCCAATTTCAACCAAACTTGCCACAAAGTATCCTTGGGTGAAGGGGATTCAAGTTTGTTCAAATCAAGGGCCACGCCCTCATTCAAGGGGAGATAATTGGGAATTAATGGAAATTTGGTGGCATATTTTAAAAATCTTCTTCTCAAGAACCACTGTGCCAGGAAAGATTTGAAAATTTTTTCAAAGTGCGTATATTCAATTTGAAAGGAAACATCCTCAGGTAGTGTAATTTTTTGTTCAAATCATGACCCCCGGGGGTAAGGCGAGGCCACAATGGCCGACCAAAGTTTTACATAGAAATATATAGGAAAATTCTTTAAAAATCTTCTTATCAAGAATGACAAATCCATAATTCATCATATTTATATGGAAGCATGCTCAGAGAGTGTAGATTCAAGTTTGTTCAAATCATGACCCCCGGGGGTAGGGCGGGGCCAAAATGGCTGACCAAAGTTTTACATAGAAATATATAGGAAAATTCTTTAAAAATCTTCTCCTCAAGAATGACAAAGCCATAATTCATCATATTTATATGGAAGCATGCTCAGGTAGTGTAGATTCAAGTTTGTTCAAATAATGACCCCCGGGGGTAGGGCGGGGCCAAAAAAAAGGCCGACCAAAGTTTTACATAGAAATATATAGGAAAATTCTTTAAAAATCTTCTTCTCAAGAATGACAAAGCCATAATTCATCATATTTATATGGAAGCATGCTCAGGTAGTGTAGATTCAAGTTTGTTCAAATCATGACCCCCGGCGGTAGGGCGGGGCAAAAAAGTCCGTCCATAGTTTTACATAGAAATATATAGGAAAATTCTTTAAAAATCTTCTTCTCAAGAATGACAAATCCATAATTCATCATATTTATATGGAAGCATGCTCAGAGAGTGTAGATTCAAGTTTGTTCAAATCATGACCCCCGGGGGTAGGGCGGGGCCAAAATGGCCGACCAAAGTTTTACATAGAAATATATAGGAATATTCTTTAAAAATCTTCTTCTCAAGAATGTCAAAGCCATAATTCATCATATTTATATGGAAGAAATGTAATTTTTTAATTGCTTAAAGTTTGTTCCAAATCATGACCCACACAGGGCGGGGCCAGAATGGCCGAATTTTTTACAAAGAAATATATAGGAAATTCTTTAAAAATCTTCTTCTCAAGAATGACAAAGCCATAATTCATCATATTTATATGGAAGCATGCTCAGGTAGTGTAGATTCATGTTTGTTAAAAATGACCCCCGGGGGTATATGGGCGGGGCCAATATTGTTAGACCAAAGTTTTACATAGAAATATATAGGAAAATTCTTTAAAAATCTTCTTCTCAAGAATGACAAAGCCATAATTCATCATATTTATATGGAAGCATGCTCAAGAGAGTGTAGATTCAAGTTTGTTCAAATCATGACCCCCGGGGGTAGGGCGGGGCCAAAATGGCCGACCAAAGTTTTACATAGAAATGTATAGGAAAATTCAATAAAAATCTTCTTCTCAAGAATGTCAAAGCCATAATTCATCATATTTATATGGAAGCATGCTCAGGTAGTGTAGATTCAAGTTTGTTCAAATCATGACCCCCGTTAGGGCGGGCCATAATTGACCAGAAGTTTTACATAGAAATATATAGGAAAATTTTTTAAAAATCTTCTTCTCAAGAATGACAGAGCCATAATTCATCATATTTATATGGAAACATGCTCAGGTAGTGTAGATTCAAGTTTTGTATCAAATCATGACCCCCGGGGGTAAAACAATCCAAAATGGCCGTGACCAAAGTTTTTAAAAATATATATAGGAAAATTCTTTAAAAATCATTTTCTCAAAAATAGCAAATCCAGTGATTGGTCATGGGACTACCTTTTGGATTTAAACTTTACAATAAAAAGGCATTTTCTACTTTTTCCTACCCTTAGTGCTCAGGTGAGCGATGTGGCCCATCTGCCTCTTGTTTAACATTGCCAATATATTATATAGTTACATTGATACAGGAATGTCACTACAGATTTGTGCATAATGAATTCTGTGTCTTTTCTCTTTAGTGCCTGGTGCCGCTGTTCTCCTGTGACGGGTGGGAGGTGACCACTATTGAGGGCGTGGATTCCATCAGTGTTCAGGCGGTCCCTAAACGCCTCGCCCAGTATAATGGCAGTCAGTGTGGCTTCTGTAGCCCCGGACAAGTCATGAATATTCACGCGTAAGTCCTTTTTGAAACAGTGAATTTGAAGTTAACTAATGAATTATAATTGTAAAAAGATAAATTTGGACAAGTCTCAAGACATATTATTTATGTATCTAGGGTCCAAATTAAAGCACTAAAAGTTCTCTTCATTTTAAGGATTCATTAGAATTTGTGGGATCCAATTTTGGTGGAAAATTTACAGGTTCTTGGGGACCTAATTTCCTATATTCACTCAATCTATGAAAGGAAACTCTGTTATACTATTTGTGGAGGATGTAAATTTGTGAAGAAAAGTATTAAAAAATTCCATGAATAATGATCCACCACAAAATCTAAGGATTCCACAGTATGGGACTTACATTGTCATTGTTAACTGTGTGAACATTTTATCACTTCAGACTTCTTGATTACCACGGTGGAGCAGTCACAAAGCAGATGGTTGAAGATGCCTCAGATTCTGTTATATGTCGATGTACTGGTAAGAATATATTTGAATGTTCAATTTACATCTTCATATTCATTATATTTTTAGCTCTACTGGTCAGAGACAAGAGCTCATGCGATAGTAATGTGTCCATCGTTCCTCCGTCTAGCTGTCTGTCTGTCTGTAAACAATTTTTCAAAATGCTACTCCTCCTACAGTTTTGGTCTGATTTCAGTATAACTTGGCATACAAGTAGACTACACTAAGATACATAATTCTGTGCATCAGTTTTAGATTTTGATAACCATGGTGTTGCCATGGTTACTAAAAATAGAAATTTCTGTGAAATACTTTAAAAATGCTACTCCTCCTACAGTTTTGTTCTAATTTCAATATAACTTGGCACACAAGTAGATTACACTAAGATACATGTACATAATTCCATGTATCAGTATTTTTTAATTTGATAAACGATGTTGCCTTGGTTACTAAAAATAGAAATTTCTGTGAAAAACTTTAAAAATGCAATTCTAAATACAATTTTAGTCTGATTATAGTATTATGTGGCATGCAAGTAGTGTACACTGAGATACATGATGCCACTTTTCTCTTCCTTTATTTAAAGTACAAACCAGTAGAGCTACAGTCTCGACAGAGAATTCTGGTTTCAAAACTGCAGTCATAACCTGCAAAATGAAAATAATATAATTGGATGATAGTTCAGTGAATATTAAATGGTAAATTTCAGAATTACATGGAATATTTTTTTTTTAAGGTTTCAGGCCTATTTTGGATGCTATGAAGTCATTTGCAGAAGATGTTCCTGATATAGAGGTATTTGGGCAATTTCACGGTCCCTGTTCAAAAATGTATTCATGTCTGATACATTATTTGCAGTTAAAAACTCATAAAAAGAGGTTCCTTGTCAGGGTGAGGTATGACTTTGCCAATGTTACTTAGGCAAGTTCAAGGTTACTGGCAGGATAAATTTGAACTTAATTTGTGAAAACATGCATGTTTTAGTCTTTAATTTTTTCATGAAACATGATTATTTCAAATTTTCATAACTTCAACTTAACTTAGAATGTCCATGTCACAATTCCAACTTCTCCATTAGAATGTAAGGGCTACTAATCCCTGATTGAATGTATGAATTTTCTTTTAATGTACAAATAAAATTAATCTGGTAAAATAACAGGATGTACACACAAAACGCTGTGATCGGACCGGTCAGACCTGCACAGGAAGTTGTCACAAACAGAGCTCACAGCTAGCCTTAAAAGATGCCCAGTGGTTCAAGCCTTCCACTGTACCGGATCTCATCAAAATGATAAAGGACAACAAGGGCAGAAACTACAGGCTGGTATTTGGAAACACAGGATTTGGTAAGACTTAATTGTATATTAAAAAAAACAGGTATTGGCCAGGTTTTGTTATCATGGAAGTCTTTCTAATTTTGTCTGAATCTCCAACTTGGAGTCTGGAAATTACAGTGGTATTTATAAAAGATATGCTCAAAGGTTGCTTTTGACTGAGAAAATATTTTGATTCTAGGCAAAGGTTTTCTGGACTAGAATGAAGGTAGGGGTCACATGGACTTCAAGTGCAAAATAATTCCTTGTTTTGTGCTCTTTCTTATCTTTCTAAGGCAGGGATTACAAAAGCTTACATTAACCACAATGATTACTTGTTGGCTGAGATTCGTCTGAAGCTCAAGTCAATGTCATTTGAACAAGGTCAAGATCACAGAAACAAAAGTGTTTTAAAAATTCTTCCAGTTCATGACAATATTATACAAACACTGTAGAGACTCATATTTGATACAAAGGATGTCTATGACCTGAAAGTGTGAGAAGCCCTGAACCATTCATTTGGTCGAGTTTTCAAAGATTAAAAGTCTTGCCCTGATCATAACTTTGTAAGTTATATATTGACTCAAAGGTTTCTTTGACCTTTAGATAAGCTTTATGGAAGGTCATAGACAAAGGCATGGAATTGCTCTGAGATATAACTTTTTTCCTGCCATTACTGTAAATCTTTGCCACTGTCAGCTGTACTATCAGTGCTAATGTTATACACTGTAATTCAGGGTTGTCAATAAGAATTAACATTAACATTAAAAATGTATAAAGACATATGGTGTACCTTTCCTTACGGGGGTTAAGGGAGCAATACCAGAATAAATGGGAGGTAACGTCTTTATACGTGTACTAAGTAGGTATTGAAATATTCTGGCCCTCGGGGTTTTGAGGACAACCCTGTATAATTGCATGTGAATATTAATAATTATTTTCTCAAAATATTTACTTTTGAAAGAATGAGTGCACTTTAGTACATCATTTGGAACCTTTTCGGCTACCCATTTTAATCTTTGCATTATAATATATCGCTAAATTAATCTATGATTATTGTGCAAGCATATGCTTTTGATATTTGTGCCTTGAGTTTTTTGTCATACACATTTCTATAATACCAGACAATGCCATTGAAAAGAACATGTATAAGCCTTATATTCCGGAAATTTGAACGGGACCACTATCGAATTTAAGATACCCGCAAATAGGCGGAGACATTTCAATCGCATGGATGTGGAATGTAAACAGTAGCACATAATTATGATTTTTTCACAATCAGATGCTACACTACAAATTTAAATGGTGAAGAAAGAAATTGTGCCGTTTCATGATGCACAATTAATAAATTATTCTAGTGTTTAGGGATGGGGTGGATGTATCGCCCTGCAGACCATAATACAGAGGCGACATGAGCCTTTATTTACTAATCTCACTACCAATAACAGAATTCTTTGAAAACACTCCTAACGAAAAATACACAGTAAAATAAGAGACATATAATCTTCAAATCTTATCAAAATTGGCGAAAAAATCTTTGCGCACAATCTGGAAGTCCGATAGATACTGTCCAAATAGATACTTCAAATGACAAATACAATGAAATGTTCAATGACAGTGTTTGTGTATCGAACCGTGGAATGTCACGTGAGTAAAGTGATTATAATATCAGTCGTTGACACTCGGGGACCTGTTAATTTACTGTAACGGCTAACTTGACGGTAGTTTGGAGACTTTTTAAAAAAATTAAATATAAGCAGCAACTTGGCCAACATTGTCTTTTGGATATGTATAAGTTTAAATTAAAATACACATTCTGTGCAAATGAGACCAATTGCCAAGTTGCGGCTCTATGTAAACAATGTCGCCGAAAACTTGTATGCAAATGAATAACAATTGAAATGTGACAAAACTGTAACTGTTAGACCCCCATCCCAAAAGCTAGTGTCACTTGGCATAATTTAGTACTTTCATGTAATATAATATACCAAAACCTGCTCTTTTAAGTGCACTCATCCTTCTTTTTGCAAATAGGAGTGTACAAGGAATTAGATCCGAAGAATTTTGACGTACTCATTGACCTTCGAGGGGTGACTGAGTTGTATGGAATTGACGTGAGTATAAAGGGAATCAGCGTCATTGAAATTCATTTCTGATAAATTACATAAGCAGAAAAATAACTGTAAATATTCTTAAAATGCTCAGACAATTGCTTGGAAAGATCTGAAATGAGGACCAGAAGACAACCAGCTGTTCATTTTGACATGTTTTTGTTTTGTTTATTTTAGTTTGATCCTACTATAGTTCTGGGCTCTGGCTTGTCCCTGAGTCAGCTGTATGATGTATTGTATCGAGGGTCAAATGAACCACAGTTTGGATATTTCAAAGAGATGTGTAAGATTATATCAAAAGTGGCCACCTCATCTGTTAGAAATGTAAGTTCTCGTAAGTTGAGATAAATTTCTGTAATGAACATGAAATACTGTAGACCAAAATAATTATCTTGCTAGAAGTTTCCACAAGTTTTTGTTTCCTTCTTTTAATCATGAATACTATCTCTATTTCAACTCCTCAGTTGTGAAAGTTAGTCATCAAAGATAGTTTTCATACTGACAGGTCATGAATAAAAGTTGGTGAGAACAATAGCTGGTTTACTGTACAGTAAAAAGCCTGTAAATTAAGTTTATTATTGAGAATTTTTCAAATTAAAGCCATAGTCTATATATATATATATATCTATTACTAATAGGAATTTATCATGTTTGCATTTTAATTATTAGCTTGGAACTTGGGCAGGAAACTTGATGTTGAAACACAAACATCCAGAATTTCAGTCAGATATATACACCATGCTGGAAGCTGTCAGAGCCCAGCTCAATATTGGTAACATACATTTTCTCCTTTTCACAAATCATTCCTTCGCTTTCAGAGATCTTAGAGAGAGTTTTTGGTCTGTCTTGTATCATTTTGCTAGAGTCGGTGTTAACCTGGAGGTAGCTTTTGAAAAGAACCAGAGACTTTATATTTGGTCTAGGTCACATTTCATAAATGAAATGCTACTTTATTATCAACTATGAAGATATTACAAGTCTGAAGTAAAACAAACATGCCTTTTCAGGGATTTTTTTGTTTCCTGGTTGAGGAAAAATAAAAAGGGCTTCTTGAAATATCATATAGAAACAAAAATGTTACTCAAAGACAGAATGACAGATATATTGATGAATGAATGGACAGAACCGGATTATTATTCCTCATTTTTCTTCAGGAAGTGAGGGGGGGGGGGGGGTTGACAAGGATTCTCTAACCATTTTCCAATTTGCTAAAAAAGTTAAGCATTTTGGCGCCTTTTTCTAATTTCAGTTGTGAATGGTGAAACAAGGGTGATTCCAATCTCTGAGTTCTTAAGTCAGGACATGACAGACAGTGTTATAGTGGCCATGTTCCTGAATTCAATCCCTGACAGCCACCACATAAGGGTTTATAAAGTCAACAAACGCACACAGGTCAGAGTTAGACCCCTTTAAAAAGTTGGAATTGAGGTAGCCACATTTCAAATTTTATTGTATCTTTTACAAAAGGAAAAGTTGGAAATGAGGTAGTCACTTTTTAAATTTTATCGTATTTTTTATAAAATAAAAAGTTGGAAATGAGGAGGCCAATCCAGAAATCTGTGTTGGAGAAAACTGGCCTGAGAACCAGAGAATTAAATTTATGTAGCCTAATATCCACGATTCAAAGTGGTATTCATGTAAGCACTAAAAGAAACAGAGAATGTATGATGCATTATTTTGACAGAGTGCCCATTCTGATGTCAATGCTGGGATGAACTTTGATATTGATGTAACCCAGAATTTCAGGGTTAAAAGTCAACCTACCATTGTATTTGGGGGGATCAGCAAAAGCTTTGTAAGTTTAAATATAGATACTTTATTACAGTGTCCTATGTGTATATTGGGAAAAATGCTTCAAATTACAAGTAAATAATTATGTTTTATAAATGAGCTATTTGCTAACTTTTATAATGATATATACATATGTTAAAGGTACATGCTACAAAGACTGAAGAATATCTGGTTGGAAAAGCACTTGGTGATCAAAATACACTTATAGGTAAATAATGTTGAATGAAACCAACATTTAATGTGAGTCTGAGTCAGTCTGAACAGTTAGGGACTTCCTATCCCCTGAAGGGTGCATATGTGGATGGGTGGGTCAATTTCAGGGTGGTTGAGTTCCAGCAAATTTTCAAATATTGCTCTATTTTGAGTGAGCTATTTACCTGGTTACAGATCAAAGCTCTTTTAAAATAACTCCACCTTTCTAGATAGAGATAGATGATGAAGATCCTAATTTTTCAGAAATTACATGAAGCTGGATCTAATATGATCCATGACATTATTATTAATTTCAGTTAAGTGTGTCCTTTTGCATTACATCACGATCTTTTGCGACATATGCACCTAGGGTAAACAATTAATTCATGCCCCCGCTGTGTGATTGGTCAACTCATATCATCAACATTGACACTGAACGAACAGTCTGTTGCACAAGCAACCAATCAGGGATTAGAAGAAACTTACATTCATAAAGCTTGCGGTAAGGAGGCGTGTACTATTTACCTTGAGCGCAACTGTCATCATAGGCTGTGACGTAATGCAAAACTGCACACTTTACTGAAATTGATAAAATCTGGTTCAGAACATTGATAGTGAGTATAATATTATCCACTTGTTTGAATAGGAGCTTTGACGATCTTGTCCCAGGAGTTGATTCCAGACGACAGCGACCAAAACCTTACATCAGCAGACTTCAGGAAAAGTGTGGCCATGGGTCTGTTCTACAGAGTAAGTGGTTATTTTCTTTATCTCCTTGACTCAGTGTTGAAGAGTGTTGTTGATGTTGTTGATGTTGTTCAAGTGTCGGCATGCAGGGCTTAATTGACTCTTTATGGGACAAGGTCCTGTGCCCTTTCAATGTTGGGAAGACATGAGTAAATAATTTTAGCCTTATTATGCAAAAATAAAGTTCTCCTGAATTATAAGTGATTGACAGTGTTGATATTTTGTGTTATTTACTGACAGCCTGCATTATTTACCTATAGTTTTGTTTAATTTATTGACAGTGTTTATTATTAATTATGAACAGTTTGTGCTGGATGTCCTTGGAAACAGTGTGGGCCCAGCATTCACCAGTGGATCCACTCCCCTGACTAGGCCCCTGTCGTCAGGGCGACAGACCTACGATACCCAGCCCCTGGAATGGCCTCTCACTCAACCAATGACCAAAGTCGAGGCAGTCAATCAGGTTTTGTATAAAGTCTTTTACACTTAGTGCTGCACATCTATGAATCCTCTGTGAAGAATTATTAATTTGTCGATTACAGAGATAGTAGTTGACATTTTTCTTCTAACTACTAGAACCTTGTAATGATTTATTATAACACTCTACCCATCTTATGCTGACATTTTACCAGGCGTCTGGCCGAGCGGTGTACATCAACGACATAGCTGGACAGCCTGGGGAATGCTACGCAGCCTTCGTTCTCAGCACTGAAGCCAACGCCAAAATACAGAGCATTGATCCAACTGAAGCTTTGGTAGAAAGAACTTTAAGTCTATTATACATCTAAAAAATTACAAATTCTCTGATAAAAATGACAGTTAAACATACAGCTAATGAATCGTTGCTTACAATGAAGTGATTTTCATTCCTTTTGGCTTTACTATAATAAATTATGTTTAGAATGAAACAAAAATGTCTGCCCTTGGCACTTCATCATAAGTATGTTCTGTATTTCCAACATTATAGTGATATTATAGTGATATTAAAGATGATACAATTTTGGTTAAAACTTTTATAAAATATTGTAAGATCATGTACTCAGAGATGAAATCATCACAGTCTTTACATATGTCTGTTTTAGGCAATTCCAGGAGTCTTGAAGTTTATTGCAGCTAAAGACATTCCTGGAAGCAACAATATTTCCCCACCCCCACTCCAGACTGAGGAGGTATTGTGATTAGCACAATGGCAAATTTTGATTTTTGTGAATGTTTATTTTGAGATACTGAAAAAGTTCTCATATACAGTAAAATCACATATTTTCGTGGGGTCAAGTTTTCAAGGGTTTAGGGAAAAAATATTGGTTTGGGTTGATTTGTTTTCATAGAATGTTTAGTAGTAATGCATGTGAAATTTTAGATTTGGTGGTGTTCCTGAATTTGTGGGTCTTTTCATACCTAGAAAACAACGAAAATTAATTCCTTGTGAAAATTAGTGATTTCACAGTATTTTTTTGCAGGTCTTGGCTAGTGACAGAGTAGAGTATTATGATCAGGCAATAGGAATCCTTGTTGCAGGTTTGTGTTTTGTTAGCTGAAACAGATCATGAGGATTAAGTCTTATGACAGGTAAAATGGTCACAAAAGAAAAGGGGGGTAAATATAAAGAATCATCAAAGTTTCAGGTACTGTATATTTTGGTGGGAAATTTTATGAATAAGATATGCAAAGAGTTTGGAACATAACAAAAGTTTTTGTTTTTGTGTACCATAATACTTGTTATATTTTATTGCTATTAGAGAGGTTGAGATTTCAAACGTGTACGTGTACGGGTACGTCTAGTAGGGGAATAACCTAAAGTGTGTAAGTGCATGAAGTCAAGTGAAATATACTGATAGTACCATTTTGAAACAATCAATAGTTAGATGTTCGGAATCAAATGTTTAAGAAGATGTAGCGGATTTGGAACATTTGATTTTAATTGGATTGATTTTGAATTAATACGTATTATTTTATCTATACATAGAGAGCCAGACTATTGTTGATTCTGCTGTCAGTAAGGTCAAGGTCACCTACACAGATGTCCAGCCTCCCATCTTAACTATGGAGGATGCTATTGACAAGCAGTCGATTTTTCCCAAGGTGGCTGATGAAATTAAAGTAGGAGACGCTGAAGGTTATTCAAACTAATGCATCTTGGAAGTCCCAACAGCCCCTTATATAGCTACAACTTTACTTAACTTTAAATTTAGACATAATTTCTTTTTTTTTTTAGAATCAGTTCTTTGCATCTTTCTGATAATATAATATCTGTTACAGGTGCTATTGCGAAGTCAGCCGTCAAAGTGACGGGAAGAATTAAGTGTGGGACACAGTATCACATGGCTATGGAGACTCAGGTAAGATTTCAGTGTTTTGCTGAAATAGTTTGTCGAGTCTCTTTATTTCAAGGCTACATCAATATTTTTAATAATTGTGATAATTTCAGGCAGATCAAAACCCATCAAAAATATGGACAGAATGAAAACACTGAGTTTTCTGTTTGAGTTCTTGGTTTATGGAAATTTGAATTAATTTTTTTTTCTTGCTTCTGATGTTTAATTTTTGACACAGTATTTCTGCATTACTGTGTTGTTATTGAATACCTGTGTGTTGATGTGACAGTTTAATTGTGTCTGACAGATAACCATCTGTAACCCTACAGAGGACGGATTTGATGTGTATTCCTCCACTCAGTGGGTGGACGTGTGCCAGAAAAGTATCGCCATGGTGTTAGGGATCCCAGACAGTAGGTAAGGGAAGCAACTCTGCCAGAAAAGTATCGCCATGGTGTTAGGGATCCCAGACAGTAGGTAAGGGAAGCAACTCTAACAGAAAAGTATCGCCATGGTGTTAGGGATCCCAGACAGTAGGTAAGGGAAGCAACTCTAACAGAAAAGTATTGCCATGGTGTTAGGGATCTCAGACAGTAGGAAAGGGAAGCAACTCTGTCTAAAATACACAAAGTCATCCTCATGCATATAATTATGATTTGTACATTTCATATTCAAAGTCCTCTTTAACATATCAAGTTGAAACCAATGAAATATTTTGAAATATTCCAAAATGCAGTCATATTGCAAGATTTCTGATTGATTGTTTATTTTACAGTTTCTGTAATTACATGTATAATTATTGCAAATAAAAATCTTGTAGCATGGCAAATTTATGACATATCATCTTTTAAGAAGTTTGGTTACTCTTTGTTACAGCATCAGTGTAAGTGTTCGTAGATTGGGAGGTGCTTATGGAAGCAAGATTTCCCGTAATTTTATTGTGGCCGCTGGATGTGCCCTTGCTTCTAATGCTCTTAAAAGGTCAGAGATTTTCTATAAGAAAATGAACGCCTCTCTTTTGTGGATTTATAATATTTTTAGAACAGATTTACATACATCATTATACTCCCGTTCTGGAATGTTAAATGAAGATGGTGGTAAAAGTTTTACCCTTGTGTGTCTGTCTAATCTGTGTGTCCGTCCAAAACAAATTTTTCGTATAGTTTTCTCAGGTGTGAACTACTATCGTAGATGCTTGAAATTAACACAATCTTCTCTAATTTATGCCATATGGTGGGATCACATTTTTGCTCAAATCTGATATCAACTTTTTTGTCGATTTTAAACTGCTTGATAGCTTTCATACATAACAAAGTTTCAAATCGCAGTTTCTCTCAGCAACTACTTACCACAGATGCTTGAAATTTTAAAACAATCTTCTCTGGTATGCCATATGGTGTTGATTTTTGTTCAAATCCGATGTCAACTTCCTGTTTGTCTGTGTGTCTGTCCGTTTCATACATAAATCTTCGTCGCAGTCTTCTCATTAGTTATTCATAGCAGATGCTTTAGATTTTATCACACTCTTTGTTGAGGCATGCCATATGGTGGGATTAATTTTGATATGAATCTGTCAACTTCATATTTTTCTGTGCATCTGCCTGTAATTGAACTTGTGTATATTAACATGATAGTGCTTATTTACATCAGAGCGGGGGTATTACTAGTGAGCGTTGGCTCACAGATTTCTTGTTCTTATTATGACAGACCTGTTCGCCTCTGTCTGGACTTCCATGTTAACATGAAGATGGTGGGTAAAAGGTTTCCTTGGATGGCTGATTACACGGTATGATGCTTTGATTCTATAGCATTATTTAATTAGTAATAATATGCTGACGGTGTGACCATTAGGGTGAGGGCAGATACTTACACAGCAAAGTTAAGGCTACAGTAAGGAGGTGGGGCCTAATTTATATGTTTACTATGACATCACACAAAAATCTTTGGTATTCAAAATACCACGAAATGAAAATTTTTTTGCTATTTTAAACTGCTTGATAGCTTTCGACTACATAAAATCTTTCAAATTTTCTCTTCACGCTGCTCACTGTGCTCGCTATAAACATTTGTTTTTGTGTATTTATAGCCCCAATGGTTGTTGTATATTTGATATAGATTTGTTTTATCTTTTGGCAGATTGGACTGTCATCTGATGGCATGTTAGAGGGTATTAAATTAACATATTACACAGACTGCGGAATAAATTCAGTAGAGAATGGCTTAGCAGGAGTGGCCATAGGCATGGACAATGGTTAGTATGGAGATCATTTATTAAGTCCCTCAATGAGTTTTAAATTTCATATGGGAAAAAATTAAACAGACATTGTTTCAGTGCTCAAACAAGCTCTGTCAGTAACATGAAATGTGACAGGAAGTGGGATCAGACTTTTTCTATATACTGTAAACACACTCTTTTCTATGGGGTCAAAATTATATGCAGATTCACTATTTCTCTTCAATCTGCAGGTAGAACAATATTTAGCAAATTTTTTAGATTGCCATTGTATATATATTTTCTAGCCTGTTGCAACAAGATTAAAAAATCAAAATTGCTTTTAATATTTTCTTTTGTATCACACTTCATTTCTTGTGATTTAAAGTGAGAAAGCAAGCAATCAGAAACTCATTGTAAATCAGTAATTTATTTTCAGCCTACTATTGTCCAAATTGGCATGTGATACCAGTGGCTTTGAAGACCAACACGGCCACAAACACAGCATGTAGATCCCCAGGTAATTCTAAATACTACAGGTATCAACATAAAATGTAGGCCATCAGGTAATTCTAAAGAATGCTGGTATCAACACAAAATTTAGGTCACCAGGTAGTTCTAAAGAAAACAGTCATCAACACAAAATGTAGGTCACCAGGTAATTCTAAAGAATACAGGTATCAACACAAAAATGTAGGTCATCAGGTAATTCTAAAGAAAAAGTATCAGTATAGCATCTAGATCCCCAGGTTATTTTAAAGAATGCACGTATCAACAGCAGGTAATTACAGTATATATATCTGACAGCAAACTACAGGTAGATATGTATCGGCCAACAGCTGGTAATTTTCTATTTGTATAGCCAATACAAGTAATAACAGGAGGTAATTGTGTATCAATACAGCCAACACCAAGTAACTGTGTATCACTAGATTATTTTTAATATGTAGGCTCTTGTCCCACAATATTCATCATGGAATCCATCATGGAGCATTGTGCAAAGATGCTGGGTAAAGATCCAACTGATTTCAGGATACAAAATCTGTACCAGAAAGGACAGGTATGTCACCTCCTTTTTCTTAATTACCATGTGTAATATTATCTATGTTTCTTGATTAAATAAGACATTGTAATTAAAGTTTTTGGAGCCAGGAAGTAAAACTTGACATTCTGTGGGACAGTTGTCTCATAAGAGGACACAAAGGACACATCATACTCTATTTGATTTTCAGGAGATGCTTAACTTTATATTTATACATTGGTGCAAATTAACATGCATACCACATGCAATAAACTTGATTACATTTTGAAAAACTCCTATTATATACATGTATATTAAATACTTAACATATGAGTAGTGTAAGAAAAATTTATTCCGCTTTGTGCATATAGGTCACTCCAGCAAAAATGCCGCTCACTTACTGTAACATCAGAGAGTTGACCAATCAACTGCCATTTCTACCTATATGAACCTCATCACACTAAAGGCTTTAAACTGATTATATTATTCAACATGTGCATTTTAAATCAAATATAATAAATCATAATTACCATACATGTATACAATAAATACATGTATGCATAGAAAATTAATAAAGTATGTATCTGCCACATGAGTAGTGGAAGAAAAATTTATTCCACTTTGTGCATATAGGTCACTCCAGCAAAAATGCCGCTCAATTAACATTTCAACTGCTGTCACTTGTCTCAAGTTTTAACCAGGTCTGTAATTTTTATACTTTTCAAAGAAGGATACACATATTGCTTTGCTGCTGTCTATCAGTTGGTCAGTCCATCCGTCTTTTTGGTCCACCACCAGTTTCCATTCATTTTCTTTGCAAAGATTGCACATACTGAAATCAAATGAAATTTGGTA